GGGGAGGTGGGAGGGTTTGCCCAGGGAAGTTTGGCAAGTGTGGAGGGGAAGGAGAAAGGGGGAATGAAAAAGAAACAGAAGAGAAGGGAATAAGAGAAAGTGGATGGAAGATAGAACAAGAGAGAACGAGAAAGAGAATGAGAGAAAAGGAGGAAGGAGGGAGCATGAGAAAATGGGAATGAAAGAAAGAAGAGAGGATGGGAGAGAGGATGAACAGAGAGAAAGAGAATTGGCGAGAATGAGAAAAGAGAACGAGAAAGGATGAGAGCTAGGGAATCTGAGAGAAAGAGAAAGGAAGGAAGGAGGGACGTGAGAAAGAATGAAAGAGAAAGAGAGAATGAAAAAGAGGATGGAAGAGAGAATTGAGAATGAGAGAAAGAATGAAAGACAGAAAGAGAAGTGAATATGAGAGAGAAAGAGAATCAGAGAGAAAGAAACAATGAAAGAGAATCAGAGAAAGGAAATGAAAGAAAGGATGGAGAATAAAAGAAAGAGGAGAATGTGAAAGTATGAAAGAGAATAAGAGTGAGAATCAGAAAGAGAGAAAAAAAGAGTGAATGAGAAAGAATGAAAGAGAAGAGAATCAGAAAGGATGAAAGAGAATGAGAGTGAGGGAGAATGAGAAGGGAGAGAGAATGAGAAAGAGACAATGAAAGGTAGAGAGAGAAATAAGAAGAGGGAGAGGAGAAAGAATGAAAGAGACAGAAAAAAGAATGTGAAAGAAAACTAAAGAGAGAAAGAGAATGAAAGAGAGAGAGAGACACACACACAAATAGAAGATGAAAGAGAGGGGAATGAGAAAGAGGGAGGGAGAAAAAAATAATGGGAGTTGAACACTTGGAGGAGATTCCCATGGCCTGGGGATGGAATGGCATCCTTGCAAATGGGCTGTTTTCTCCTTTGGTGGAGTTGGGGGGAGGGGGTCCCTCTCTCTTGCCTTGAACAAGGGGGTTGGACTAAAAGACCTCTAAGGTTCCTTGCTTGCCTGGTGTGTGTGTGTGTGTGTGTGTCTTTGGTTTGCCTTCTATTCAGCCCAGGTTTGAACCCTGAGCTTCAGCAGAATAACAAAAGAGAGTTGGAAAGGACCTCGGCGATCTTCTAGTCCACTCCCCTGCTCAAGCAGAAGACCCTAAACCATTTCAAGCAAATGGCTGTCTAGTCTCTTTTTAAAAACCTCCCGTGATAGAGCACCCTCAACTTCTAGTGACAAGCTGTTCCACTGGTTCGTTCAATCAATCAATCAATCAGTCAATCAGAGTAGAACAGGTAGGGACTTTGGAGGTCTTCTAGTCCAACCCCCTGCTCGAGGCAGGAGACCCTCTATCATATCTGTCCGATCTTGTCTTGAAAATCCAGTGATGAAGCACCCAGAACTTCTAGTGACAAGCTGTTCCACTGGTTCATTCAATCAATCAATCAGTCAATCAGAATGGAACAGGTAGGGACTTTGGAGGTCTTCTAGTCCAACCCTCTGCTCGAGGCAGGANTACCTCTTTTGAGGCTGCCAGCTGCTGAGCATCGGATGTGCTGGGGAAGGGTTCTACGATGACTCACGATGGCCAGCTTACCATGACCAACTCACCACAACCAACTTGCCATGGTCAACTCTCTATGGTCAACTAGCCATGGGCAATTCTAAAGTGCCAACCAACTTGCCATGGCCAACTTTCTATGGCCAACTAGCCATGGTCAACTCACCACAACAAACTCACCACAACCAACTTGCCATGGTCAACTCTCTATGGTCAACTAGCCATGGCCAATTATCTATGGCCAACTTGCCATGGCCAAGTCACCCCAAGCAACTCAACACAATCAACTTGCCGTGGTCAACATTCTATGGCCAACTAGCCATGGCCAACTCACCACAACCAGCCATGGCCAACTCACCACAACCAACTCAACCATAGTCAACTCTTGATGGCCAACTCGCCATGGAAGAAGAATTATACAAATATCGAAGAAATGGTGGAACAGAATGCTTCATGAAAGGCTGCCGAAAGAGGGACAGAATAAAATGGGAAGGCCGACAATTAAAATAATGTCCAAAATTTTAAATTCTTCAAAATAACTGTATTGTCGAATTGTCCTGCAGCTACTTGGCTATGGCGAGTTGGCCACAGTGAGTTGGTCACACCGAGTAAGCCATGGCATGTTGGGCACACTGAGTTGGCCATGGTGAGTTGACACCCCCCCCCAAAAAAAAGAGGGAGAAGGACCCTTACGAAACCTGCCTGTGTTGGGGGGAACCCACGAGGACATCTATGCCATCCCCCAAGGGCAGCAGTCACTTCCCAGGCAGGCTTTTGGTTCAGGAGCACGGTGGTCTGTGTGTGTTTATGTGTATGTGGGCACCAGTGAGCCTGCTCCAAAAATCCCCCTCCCCAATAATGCTTAACAAGGTAACCACAATTCTTTGTTCCAGATTAATCCCCCTTAAGCGAGCATTATGAAACTCGGNGTTTACAGCGTGTTTCTGTCTCCGCGCTGTTGTCACCCTGTTGATGACGTCAGCTACGCGGTTTCGTCGAGCACAGTTTAGTCCAACGTGGTTTTGTGGTGGAACCCTGTAAAGCACCGTGAAGTGGTGTCTTCATTTTGTTTGATGACAGATAACTTGCTTCCATTTATTTAGTTACAAGATATTGTGAGAAACTTCCTCTCTCTGGCCTTTTTTTTAGATGAGAAAGTGTGGGCAGTCAGAGAGGCTAGTGCCATACAAGGCGGCGATGAAAACTGTCTAAAATTTTTTTTGTTTTGCCAAGACTCTATTGCATTACCTCCACAAGCCAACTAGGCATCAAAAGACTACCAAGCGAAAGTCAAAATCAAATTAGAGGCCCCGTGAGAATAAGGTGCAAAATCAGAAGTATCTTTCCTAAGGGAAGAAAATTGTTGAGAAGTTACAAGGCAGATTTCATTTATTGAATTCTGTTTATCAAATCTGTAAAGCCTTTTGACTTCGTAACCATTCTGGGTGTTTTATAGTATAAAAAATGACTAAACCAGTCACAGCAAAAGGAAAAAAAATGAAGTCCCTCTGGAGAGTGTAAAAAAGTAAGAGAAGCATCTTCTCTACTAAGCAACTTTCTCACAAGGGTCCCAGCCCCACTCTTGTTCTTTCTTTGGGAAAAGAGACAGCCTTTAATAGCAATAACCATAACACTTAGGTTTATAGAATGCATCCTGGTGCTTTACGATCCTCTCTAAGCAGTTTACAGAATCAGCATATTGCCCCCAACAATCCCGGTCCTCTATCAGACCTGGGAAGGGTGGGAGGGTGAGTCAACCTTAGCCGGTCAGGGTTGAACTGCTGGCAATTGGCAGAGTTAACCTGCAATCCTGCATTCTGACCACTGTGCTACCACTCACCCATTTCAAGGGAATCAGGACAGGGGCAAAATGAATCTCTGGGAGATGTTATTCTAGATGTCAAGTGAAAGAAGGCCCACTTCCTTAATCCCATTAGACGATACTGTTTAACTGACTGGACCAAAGCATGCCAGCTTTTTTTGGGTACAAGCAGAATGGGCGGGCATTTGAGGAGACAGACAGTTCCTTCAACAGCTAGGCCATATGCCATAAAAGGCTTCATAGTGATAGTCATCTTCCTGAATTGAAAACAAAGCTAACTGGTGAACGGTGTAGTAGAGATGTTATAGAAGCAAATTGTGGCTTGCCCCTAACTCTCTG